TCATTGGTTCCCCAGTAAAACTATAATCAAACATTGGCATGACACTAGAGCCTTAAAAGGGAATAAGCAGTGCTTAGTATCTCCAGGAAAGGAATTCTCACAACAGAAGGAAAATTTATTTGTTAATGCTATTATGTCTCGTACTTACTAAAAAACTCATAATTATTTTTTTAAAAAAGAAAATGAGAATGTAAATTGTGTTGAAAGGATATGGGAATGGAGATATTTTTTCAAAATAGAAAAAATGAGAAAGCCTAAGCAAGTGATGAAGTCTGTGTAGGTTTGTTGATGATATATAAAGGATGAGACAAAAATAATATACACATAATCGTAAAATTTTCTAAGGTCATAGTTTGGTCAATTAGTTTAAGGAACAAAATATACATCTAGTCGAGGTTTATCTGAGAATATTTGTTTTTTTACCCAAGCTTTATCTACACAGCACATGGTAATTAAAAGTACCAGACTGGTGGAACTAACCTTATTGGATGTTTAACAGCCATACTTTGAGGCCTAATGTAGTAAGAGGGACTTATAATAGGACAGGTTTTTCCCTTTGCCCTCCAAAGTTGGCTAACTTTCAGGGGACGATGGGACATCTCTCTAAATGTCCAGTAACTGTGGTAAGTCACCTGTCCTCTTGTTCATGGAGGCCATGGAGACCCCACAAGATGGACTTGAACTAGTGTCCATTCTACAAAGAGGAGGGTCAACTCAGAGGAAACATCTCATCTATGCTTCCAAGTGAACCCAGACATGGTTGAGCAGGATCTTTGACTTATCTTCACATAGATGGAACTTGTTAAAAAAGAGTCAGGGGATCCCCCCAATCCCATGTAACCCCTGAGGAACAGTTCCTCAAACGACCTTAAGTGTAAAAATAAATTGATTTATTTGGGCCAATTGTATGGTCTTAAACATCCAAAAGGAAAGTATAACCAAAGAATAAAGTCATCAGTATATTTCTTTAAGAGTTCAAGGGATTACACTTCCCAGGCATTAGGCTTAAGTCCATATAAAATGATATTTAGATAATTATTTATCATTGATGATTTTGTTCCTAATCAGAACGTGCTGCTCAGATGTAAGACTTCAAATCTTGGTCTCCAATACTGTAGCACCCACCTGTAGCTAGGGAGAAAACCCCCTACTGTTCTAAAATGATGGCTAAATTTATTTTCTCCCTGTATCTAGAAGCCTTTGAGAGGGAACTGACACTGATTCTAACCACTCCAACAGCTATCTAAATACCTGAAAGAAAATCCTGAATCCATCATTCTCAAGTCCAACCTTGGCAGACAAAAGAAAAATGAGAAGAACCCAATGGAGGGATGCTTTTGGAAGCCCTTGTCAAGAATTTACAATGATTCTCATATAAACATTTGAAAATTGCCCTGTTGGCTGACTTTTTTCTAGTTCCCTGTCTAGAACTTGTAATGCTAATTACTCTTGCCTTTACTTCTCCTTCACAGCTTCTATTCACCAGTCAAGGACTTTCTTTTCCCCCTACAGATAAGAGTTGTGCAATTTGGGAGTCTCCTAGATAGACCCACTGAAGGGGTACTCCAATTGACTTACCCTAAAAAAAACAAAAACAAAAACAAAAACAAAAACCCCCAAAGTAGCCAGTTTCTTGGCTAAAACCATGTCCTTGGGCCTCTTAGCAGCATACTCCTTTCCAAAGGCCAAAAATGTCGAAAGGATTTGGGAGCTTTTATATAATCGATTTTAGGG